AGGTAGATCAACGAAGTACACTGCTGAGGGGAGCAGCGGGCGGGCCAGGAGAGGTCTGCCACGCCATGTGGTCTCCTCCCGGGGAGGCGGGAATTGAACTCATGCGGAAGTGGCTTTTTAGCTTCTCAGTGCAGTGCTTTAACCCGCTGCGCCACCAGGGAGGGCCAAAATTTAGATTTTTTTAAAACATGCATCCTGTCTCCATGAGCTTCCCAATAATTAAAGTGTCCATGGAAGAGTTCAGCAATGATACTAAGTTTTTGGTCTTATATAAGGAACATTTGGGAAAGCTGCATAATTCAGTGAACATTTTCAAATGACAAATGCATAATCAAGTATGTAAAAGATCCATTCAAAGGGCAGACTAGAGCAATAGAAGTTAATATGACAAAGCATTAGCATACAACCAACGGGTACACAGGGACCCCAAAACGTTAAGGGCTGCACACTCTAAAAAGGGTCCAGGCACCTGCCATACAAAGGCAAAGGAAGCAGATTCTTAGTGTAATAGAATTTTAATAAAATTAGTGCACATAGAGAGAGAAGAAGGGATATTTCTTTTTTTTTAAACAATATTTTTAAAAGATTTATTTATTTATTCATATAGAACTGGGTACAGGCCAGAGATGTGGAGGGTGAGAGGATTCACCAGAGACAGAGAGGGGAGCAGAACAGGTAGATCTACGAAGTACACTGCTGAGGGGAGCAGCGGACGGTCAGGAGAGGTCTGCCTTCCCATGTGGGTCACCTCCAGGGTAGGTGGGAATCGAACTCATGTGGAAGCAGCTTAAGCTTCTTAGTGCTGTGCTTTAACCCGCTGCGCCACCAGGGAGGGCCCAGAAGGCATATTTCTAATAAAACTCTGAGAATTACCCATCCTCTTGGGGGCAAATGTACAGCCAAACAGAGTTTGCCTGAAAAGCTTGCAACAAGTCTAAAGTGTCTTCTGATGGGGACACAAGGGGTGGGCAGTTCCCAGAGAGCTGGGACAGAGAGACGCAAAAATCAAAATCAAAGTACAAATTAAGACAATGGCTGCCAGTGTCTCTGCTGAAGGCAGTTTTCCCGTGGGTTTCTTGGCTTGTAGGTCTCTTCCAAGTGTCTACATGTTTCTCTTCCCTGGAAGCAATAGAAACAGGAGAGCAAGAGCCTGGGATGCCTGCCTTCCCTGTTAGATAGTTTTATCTGGCTGCCCAGCTCGGCCTCTAATTCCTAGTAGCGAACCTAGTAGCTCAGGATTATGCCACTCCAAAGTGGCTGCATGCAAGTGGGAACAGGGCAAATAGTACCTCCCTTTCATCGAGGTGTAACTATAACAAAAGTAGGAAAAGTTTATTGATATGGTCTTAGATTCCACATTGCAATTAACATTTAAGAAACTGTAACTGAACTCTATTGAGTCTGGGCTGGCATTGCCAAGATAGAGTGCATAAAAAACAACTATTAATTTTCTAGTGTCATGAAAAGGACAGTGAAAGTAACATTTCCAAAGAAACTGTCTTGTAGTGGGGACAGCGACAGAAGTTATATAGTATTGTTTAATGTTAGGGGATCTTCTGATTTTTTTCTCCTTTCAGTCTTACAATCATTTCTTATTGTCAGCTGCAGAAAGACATACTGTTGGGGACGTGATTCTTATCTCATCTAGGTTTTAATTATGGGCAAGTAGTTGTGTATAAGGTGATCTATGCCTTATGACTTGAACTAAAAGGAAAAATTCCTTAATTCTTACTAAACCTGTGCTCAAAAAACCACCACTTGTTTTGATGAAGTTTCAAAAATAATACTGGCATTTATTTGAAAACTAAAATACTCCTCTTATTTCCAACTGCGAGCTGTGTGAGACTGTTTTTTTTTCTTATGCTTCAACCAAAGCAATATATTGTGATGCAGTGAATGCAGAAACATATGTGCGAATCTTTGTGGCTTCTATTAAGCCAGAACCTTAATGAGATTTGCAGAATATATATATATATACATATATATATATATGTATATATATATCTTCCTCATTAAACTTTTTTTGCTTTGAAGATTACTATTATTTTTTGTTCTTTTTCCTTTTAATATTTTTTTTATTTTTTTACACCATTCTTCACTTTGAGCATTTTTTCATCTCAGTTGTAATCCCCATAGGTTTCCCACCACCAATTCACCCATGTGCCATCACTACAGTCCAGCACATTCTTCCCACTCCAGTTCTGACCCCATATCCCCTCCCACCCACATAAAATGTCTCTGGTTTATAGTTGTTCATTGTTTTCATTTTTACTCTATAACATTTTTTTGGTCTCTTCCCCCTGCCTCCCTGATCCCTTTGCTCCTGCTATGAGTGAAACCATCTTGTATTTTTCCTTTTCTTTCTGGCTTATTTCACTAAGCATGATCCCTTCCAGCTCCATCTATGTTGCTGCAAAAGGCATGAGATTTTTGATTGCTGAATAATATTCCATTGTATATATGTACCACATCTTTTTAATCCAGTCATCTATTTTTGGGCATTTGCATTGATTACACATCTTCCCTATTGTAAATAGAGCAGCATTAAACACGGGGGTGCAGGTGTCCTTTTAAATCAATGTTTTTGTGTCCTTTGGGTATATACTTAGGAGTGGATTGCAGGGTTATATGGAAGCTCTATATTTAGCCTTTTGAGAAACCTCCATACAGCTAAAGAATATTATTTTTTTGGTAAAAATGTTAGCATGTAATGTGTTTTTATAGCTATTTAAAAATGAATAAAAACTTTTTCTGTCTTAATTTCTAATATGGTAACTTCAAAAAGTTAAAAGAAATATTCATATACATCACCCTTCATTTTGTAGACTATAGTTCCCCATGGAATTCCCACCACCAATTCACCTGTGCACCATCACCATACTCCCTTGTGCTCTTTCCACTTCTGTCCTGGTCCTTCTCCCTCCTGACCCACTACAGAATGTCTCTGATCTATAGTTGCCTAATGAATTTTTTTCTTTATTAGTTACTTTTTTCTGCTTCTGTTTTGTTTTCTCTACATTCCTCCTATATGTGAGACCATTCGATACTTTTTTTTCTCGCTTTTTTCACTGAGTATAATCCCTCCTAGCTCCATTCATGTTGTTGTGAAGGGCATAAGTTCATTCCTTTTGATTGCTGAGTAATATTCCTTTGTATAAATATACTACATCTTCTTGATCCATTCATCAATTTTGGGGCATCTGGGTTGCTTTCATTGCTTACCTATTGTAAATTGTGCTGCAATAAACATAGGGGTGCAGGTGTTCTTTTGAATTAATGTTTTTGTGTCCTTTGGGTAGATTCCTAGGAGTGGAACTGCTGGCCATATGGAAGTTCTATTTTTAATAGTTTGAGGAACCTCCACACAACTCTCCATAGTGGTTGGACCAGTTTGCATTCCCACCAGCAATGTAGTAAAGTTCCTTTTTCTTCACATCCTTGCCAACATTTGTTGTTACTAGTTTTTTAGTATGTGCCATTCTCACTGGTGTAAGATGGTATCTCACTGTGCATTTCCCTGATTACAAGTGATGTTGAACATTTTTTCATATGCCTGTTGGCCATTTACATTTCTTCTTTGGGAAAGTGTCTTTTTTAGCTCTTCTGCCCATTTTTTGACTGGGTTGTTGATTTTTTTTTTGTTGTTGTTGACCTGCATCACCTCTGTAGATCTTTTTGATCAGTCCTGTGTTGTTAGTATTGTTTACAAAATTTTTCTCCCAATCAGTGGGATGTCTCTGTGTTTTGGCTAACGTCTTTTTGCAGTACAGAAGTTCTTTAATTGATGTAATCCCAGCTGTTTATCTTTTTCTTGATTTTCTTTGCTCTAGGTGATGTGTCTTTAAAGATGTTACTGATATATATTCATGTAGTGTTTTGCCTCTATTTTCTTCTATATATTTTATGGTTTCAGGTCTTATGTCTAATTCTTTAATCCATTTCGAGTTGGTTTTGTGTATGGTATGAGGCAGCAGTCTAAATTCATTCTTTTGCGTAACATGGTAACTTTCAATAAGGATAGCCCATATAAACAGAAGTTCTTTGCAGTTTTCTATAATTCGAAGAAGGTTAATGGATTCTAAATTCCAAAGTTTCAGAACTACTGTTGTAGGGTAATTTATCTGAATTTGACTTTATTTATAATTCACTAGAGCCCATACATTATGAAGATATATGTTAACTTGTAGATGTTAGTCCAGAGGGAATCAAATCATTTCTATCCACTACAAAAGATAATCATTTTATGGGACATCAGTTAGCTCTGTGTACAATTGAACAATCTTACTATAATGTTTTCTCAACTTATCTGTAAGTAGCTTTTTCCTTCAAATGCTCCTTGAAGCAGTTTCTATCACACAGCACTAGTTATTTTGTTAAAATGTTGAATGTTCATTATACAATTGCATGTGTTATTTTTAAATTTTGGAAGATCATGCTGTGACGACACTAGTGCATGATTATATGACACATATTTGAATATACTGTGCACATACATACTACATATACGTGTTATTTCAGAACTGCATACCTGATAGTGTACCTGGCTATTTCCACATTATTCGAGCATGCTTTCACCTTACATCTTCTTTCTTTTACTCACGCACGCACCTTAAACTTAGCAGGACACACATTCCCTCTCTGGCCACCTGCAGAAGCGCTCCAAAGAGGTCCAGGCGGGAACCTATCCACAGGGCAGCGTGGCCGGGCAACCTTGTGACAGCCCCACCTGCTCACGCGAGGCTGCCACCACTCTTCCGCCCACTTCCAACATGGCCTCTAGGTGCCCTCAGTCCGGCAGCCAGCGTTCTCCTTAGCCGAGAAGCCCTTGTGGTGTTCATGTCAGCTCCTCAGTGAGGACAGTCAGGGAAGTTGGTGTAGGCGGGCGGGGCTGTCCAAGCTCAGCTGGGCGGCGGAGGCCGAACCAGAGCGGACCGGAAGTTTCACGGGAGCGCAGGCAAACGGAGCCGTTAGCTCAGCGCGCCGGAAGTGGCCGCGTCAGGCCGAGCCCGCAGTGAGCCAGCTTCCCTGCGGGCCGGCTACGCCATGGAGTCCGGAGCGGCCGAGCTGTATGACCAGGCCCTGCTGGGCATCCTGCAGCACGTGGGCAATGTCCAGGACTTTCTGCGCGTGCTCTTCGGCTTCCTTTACCGCAAGACCGACTTCTACCGCCTCCTGCGCCACCCGTCCGATCGCATGGGCTTCCCGCCCGGGGCCGCCCAGGCCCTAGTGCTGCAGGTGAGGGCTGGGCGGGGGAGGCCCCACCCGCGCACCCAGGCCACTTGTCGGAGATCCCCCACTTGGGCGTTCCGGCCGCGATCGCCTTCCTGGTGCTTCTCGGTCCAGCCTCTTGCAGCTCTTACCTGCATCTCCATACCCAGGAGTCCCTTCCTTCACTCTGGGCCTCAGGCTCTTTCTCAGGCTCCCTTGGACCTCCGCGGCTGGAATAAGCTGAAACGCTGGTTAGATCTCGTTACTCTTTGGGGGGAGTGGGACTGGCTTTCGAGCAGTCTTGTCTGACACCAGAGGTACGTGGGAGTCAGAAGTAGCAACGGGAATCTCGCTCAAGGCTCTGTAAAGTTCCCTTCAGCACATAATCCTTCGTGGTGCCCAGGCTGCTAGTCGGGGAATGAAAACTACAGAGATGGGGTTACAGACCAGAGGTGTGTAAAGGAGAGTGTTGAGTGGGGGTGTGGTTCCTTATTTGAAATGTGACTTCCTAGATGAAAGATAACCTTCCTAGTATTTATTAAATTTACATTTGACATCTGTATATCCCAAGTTAAATTTAATGTGTGCTTGAGGTGCTAGTAATGCTTACTCAGTGGGTACTTTGGTATGTAAAAAACAAATGTTACAGAATGATTTTACATTTTCAGCTGCCACAGGCCTTGGCTATGCGTTGGTGAAATGGATGGTAAAGTAATGGTTTCTGCCCGTGTTACACTTGCGTTTAGAGAGCATAACACAGACAACAGTAGAGGTATGACAAAAGCCAATGGAGGGAAAGAAATAAAAATGATTGTTGAGAAATTAAGATCAACTTTGTAAGGGAGCTGAGACTGATGTGATGGAGGGAGGTACTCAGCCAAGTGTTGAGCCTGCTTCTAAGAACCTGAGAAGATAGAAATGCTGATGATACCTCCTACAGCTCTTCTAGCACTTTACAGTTTATTATGTATATTGCTTTTGGGTGTCTTGCTACAAGTTGTGGTTGGTCAGGTTGCTTGGAGAAACAAAAGCTAAAAATGTGGTCAAATGATGGGGTGGGCTTGGGACTAAATTTTAGAATTTAAAGCTAATTCCTCATCCTTTCAGTGACTAATTGCCATCTGAATGATAACTTTGAGCTATGGAAGTCCCTGAGAGAAATAGATGATTGTCTTGTGTGGCAGATGAGAGTACTAATTCAACTTGGCTAGCTTGTTTGACTAAACTTATACTAGGACAGGAACTGGAACTTGCATTTTTCTGATTCCAGGTTTGTGTTTTATTATTTAACCTTTCCCTAGAAGAGTGTGAACTTTTCCCTAAGGTGAGTGTAACTTGCAGAAAAAATGTAGGAGGAAAAGAAACCTTTACTTAGTACCTAGTTTGTATTGACTGTTATGTTAGGTGTATAGTGTGGGATGTTTTACCTGAAAGATCGGTCTTTGCCTACCGGTGAACAGACGTTTATGTATCTGTATATACAACACGTATGTCCCCGGCATTTGTACATGTTAAGACTTTGTGACTAGGTTAATGAAGTGGATCACAGGGCAGAGGGATGGGGGGGGTGAATTAAAAATGGTCTAACGTTTCAAACCAAGACAGCTAGAATAATGGTAGATAATGCATTGATTGAACTGTGACCTGAGTTTAGGGGAAAAGTGGTTTTAGAAAAGTTGAATTTGAGATTGCAGACAGAAGCAACCCCCCCCCCAGGCTGTGTCATGTGACTGGATTTTGTGGGAGATGGAGGAATCAGTGATTTGAGGGAGAGCTGAGTTGATGTGGATCCCTTTGGGGATGATCCCAGTGAAGGGGTGGGAGCAGTAGGAGATTTGAGGGAAGTAGATAGGGCAGTAACTTTAACAGAAATCAGAAATTAGATGGTTAAGAGAGGCATTTAAACATTTTCTGAGTTTCCTGGCTGGGTAGATCAGGGTTGATCTCAGGGAACTGTTGTTATTATTTTTTTTGTCCACAGAAGCCATTTGGGTAAAGACTTATAAAAGGTGAATTCCGTACTGTGTAGAATATTGTTGTGGGTTTGGATATTAGGGTATTTGTCAGACTGAAAGTCTTGGTGTGGTACAACATTACTGCCCAGTGGTGTTAGGTGAACTCTTGACTCCACCCTTCCTTTTCTCCCTCTAGGGGTTTTCTTCTTTGCCCTGATTCAGAGGTATAAAACCAATTCCTGTGGCATTACAACTTGAGGTGGGTGCTTGGGGGTCTTTTCAGAACACAGGCAAAGTGGGTTTGGATGGAAGTGTTGGGTTGCTCTTTTCTAGAGCTCAACAGCTTTCCCCTTATATTTTAGGGTATGGTCTGTTGGTAAGACTTATTAATCTTTTCTTCCTGATTTTAAGGGGTTCAGCAGCCTGAATGCATAGTTTAAAGGACCCTTAGTGGGAAAGATTCACTGCATTCCATGCCTAATA